GACCTTATCAGACTCAAAAGCTACAACTCTTGTTGCATAGGTCTTGCTTTATCTTGGTCTTAACCATCCAGCAGAAAAGTATAAAAATGAAGTACAAGAAGTAAAGCCATGCTGTTATATTGAGCTGTAGGGGACTCAGGTCAACAATTTCTGACATTGCCAGTGAAGTGGAAGACCCAATACTATTATGGACTACTGGACTATTTTAGAATATTTTTGCTGAGTTAACACACCTATAATATTCAAATAACGGAAGTAAACAAAAAAGGGGATACAGATGAATGTCCATTTTGTATCTGTGTATTCAAAATGGTTAGGACAGATGTATAGTTACATTCTCTTAATGAATACAGGGATTTGTTGTAATAGTGTTTGTAAATAGGAAATCATGTCTGCATCTTGTACAGCAAATAACCACTAGGAAGAATGCATGCAGTGTGTTAATTATTGAAACTGTCCTACCAGCTTGATTTGAAACTGTCTCATTGCTATTTTTTCCTCAATAAAATTATGGGGGGAAAAAAAGACTGGTATGTATCAATCTGTTCTCTTGTGCCGGTACCCAATACCACAGTCTGGCAAAGTTATAAAGGAAAGGGGCTTTGGGGGCTCACAGCTGCTGGAGGCGCCAGGTGGAGGGGTCACAGTTGTTTTGCCCCGGGCTGGAGACCACGTGCATCCCAGGCAACACAGAAAAAACAGGGAGTCTGTGCCCTGTGCCTGTCTGCGTGGTCCCTCCGCTCCTTTAACATCGCTGGGGTGTCATCCTGGGTGGCCCCCATAGTTTCACCAGTTTCTAATCATCTTGGAAAGGTGCCACCTCTACCATGAGCATGGGATCAAAATTCTCCCCCCTAAATTCCTCGCCGAGAGGACTATATTTCAACGCAGGAAGCCTTGGGCCAGGCACACTGCGCCCAAACCAAGTAAAACGTCCACTCTGCGTGGAGATGGGCGGGGCGGCGCCCTCCTAGCCGTGCGAAGGTGCCGGCCCTTCAGGAGGGACAAGTGGCACTGGCCTGTCCTGAAGCGGCATTGGTGTCGTCGCTCAGCCGCCCGCCCTTCCCGTCTGCAGGCGGCAGTCGAAGCCCGAATTCCCCGCGGGATTCGGGTGGCCGGGAGCGTCGGCGCTAACCAAGCCCTCCCCTGTGTGCGGCCGCGGGCGGCGGTGTGGCGCGGGCTCGAGCGCTCGGCCCGGGCTGCAGCCGGAGCCCCCTGCAGGCCCGCGCAGTGCGGACGGCGCCCTGATCTGCGGCAGCAGCGCGCTCAGCCCGAGACGCGCCTGCTCCCCGCCCGCCCGGCTCCCTACACAGCCAGGCCCTAAAGACCCCTGCGGCGGGCAGAGGGCGGAGGACTGGGCGCGGGGCCGCGCGGGGGCGCTGCAGTCCCGCCAGGTCCCGGCTGGGCTGCACGATGTCGCCGAGTCGCGTGGGCTGGTTGCTGTGCTGCGGCGCGCTGCTGTCGCCGGCCGCGGGCTACGTGCTCCTGAGCTCGGTGTCGTGGGCCGTCACCGGCGAGGTGGACGAGGAGCTGGACAGCGCTTCCACAGAGGAGGCGCTGCCGGCGCTTCTGGAGGACCCGGGAGGCCTCTGGCAGCGCAGCTTCCCTGCAGCGGCGCACGAGGATGGCGCCACCCGCGCCCCGCCGCGCCCCGCGCCCCCTGGGATGTTCTCCTACCGCCGTGAGCGCCGCCCGGGACGCCCCGCCACCGCCGCGCCCCTCAGCTCCGCGCTGCGTGCCCGTCTCGCCCGCTCGCTGGCCCACGCGAGCTCCTGGGGCTGCGTGGCCACCATGGCCGCGCGCGACAAGGTAAGAGCCGCGGGCTACGTGTACTACCCGCAGGGACCCGGAGACGGGGCCATGCTTGCTGGTGATCGGTCCACTTGCAGGGCCAGCACCACAGACTTGGGTGCACTGGCCACGCCTTGCAGATCGCCAAAACAGCCTGTGCTACCTACCTGCAAAAGGCATGTTGGGGGGCAGACTCTGACAACCAGGCTTCCGGACAGGAACTGCATACCTGACTTGAGCTGGCCAAAGATGTCCAGAGAACCAGCGTCTGACCTAAGGCTGGACAAAGGGGCCTTGGGAATCACAGAATGAATCACAGAGCCAGCATGTGCGTCCCTGACCGCACCTGACACGGGCCAGATGCTGCCCGCATGCGTGCACTTTGATGGAAATCTGCGTTTCAAACGTGGAACTCAGCTTCCTGATGCCGGTAGTCCCAGCATTCTGGTGCATGAGGCAGGAACATGGCAAGTTCCAGCCCAGCCTGGGCAAAAATTTTAAAATGTAAAAAGAGCAGGAAATCAGCTCAGTGTGAAGGCCAGGAGTTCAGGCCCCACAGGGGATGGATTTTTTCTGGACAGGAAAGGAGGCTTATTGTGCAGTGTGTGTATGAGCGATGCAGTTTGTGTCGCTCAGCAGCGAGCTCTGTCCACTTGGAGGTGTGATTCCCTCCACCTGGAATGACCTGATTGCCGTGAGGGTGCAGCTTCCACAAGCAGACGCTCCAGAAAGGGCTGGAGCTGTTGGCAGAGGTGAGGGTTTCACTCCAGGGCAGCAAGTTGAGCTCATAGTTGCTGTACAGAAAAACAATAAACTAATGTTCTCAGGATGCAGAAGACATTGGTTAAGGGCCGAGTCCCTGCCCCAGTGCGGGAGCTAAGCAACACCTTTATTCCAGTTATGGCAACAATCTTCATCTCTTTTTTGTCCAGTTCCAGCTCCTAGAACCCAACTGTGTTTTGTTTTGTTTTCCGGCACCAGGAATCAAACTCGGGACCTTGCACTTGCCTGTCAGACACTTATGCCAATGAGCTATCTCTCAGCCCCCTCAACTGGCTTTTCATGGTCATGTCTTACACTCCCGAGACAAGTAAGAAAACAAACAGCTGAAATATGAAGCTAATCTGGGTGTAAAACAAGTCTTTTCAAGGAATTAAAAGTCTGGTATCCAAGTATTGAAGGCACTCTGACTTCCACAAACCTCTGTTTTGTTAGGAGGCCTCCTTCCCAGTGTTGACCCTAAATGCCATAAACTCAGGATGCCTCTGTGTGCACGCACAGCGGGAAGCTGCGAGTGGTGTGGTAGTGCCATTTTGGAGGATTCCTTAGTATTGTGGTACCAGGGATCAAACTCAGGCCCTTGCACTTTCCAGGCAGGCGCTTACGCCCTGAGCTATATCCCTGGCCCCCAGTATTATATCTTCTTAAAAATTTTACATCCTTCCACATACAGTTTTATGCACAGTTCTCATGCAAGACTCCAAGGACAAGCCCTGAATTCTGAGCTGAGTAAGGATGGGCCGTCTCGCTGTGTGCTTACTTGAAGTCCTGCGGATTGAATTTAGGGCCTGTGCTCTGAGCTCCACCCTCAGCCCATTACAAAATCTCTCTCTAATGGGTATTGCTGAATTGCTAAGATGCGTGTGCTGCTTCAGACTTGTAACTGTCCTACCTCAGCCTGCGGTGAGGTGTGCTTTGGGCGTAAGCGCTTAGACAGTTGGGGCACTGCATTAGCTGGATTTAGAAAACTCAGACTTCAGCATTTGTCTCTGTCGGAAGTCACAGGAATGTGGCGCACACCCCTCATGCACCCTCCTGGATGATCGTGACCAAAAGTGGGTGCTCTGTGTCTGTGGCTTCCCTTATGCTCACGGCTAACAAATCAGTTCCTTGGAACTTGCTGGGTTCTCTAATGAAATGTTATTTTTTAATACTAAAAATACAACTGGTAAATAAGGAATTAGTGTAGCCCTGAAAGAAACAGTGATAGAATGTTCCTGGTATCAAAGATATTAAAAGAAAAAATTAAATTTTATCCTCAAAGTTGCCAAAAATTTGGGGGGATGCAGTGCAAGTAGAGGATGTTTAAGAGGCAGCTTATAGGAAGAGTTTAGGACCGCCACCCCATCAGTCACTGCCCCTCCCTCAAGTGATACTAAATTCAGTACAGCAAGCGAGCACATTTGCTATTCAGAGGCCCCTTCAGGAATAATTCTATAGCCAGGCGTGTTAGGGAACAGCTATAATCCCAGCACTCTGAAGCCTGAGGCTGGAGGATGACCTCAAGTTCAAAGCCAGCTTGGACTACATATTGAGTTGAAAGCTAGCCTGAACTGCATAGCAAGGCCCTGCCTCAAAGGAAGTAAATAAATAAATAAGAATCCTGTAACTCCTCTACAGACAGGCCCTGCTGCGTGCCCCCTCCAGAGAAATCCAAGTGCTCTCTCTGGGTACACTGGATGGGTTGGGGCCATTTTGCCTTACCCGAGTCCCTGTCAGAGCGCTTATGAGGCTAAGGTCGCCCATGAGGGCCCCGGCATTGCCTTTCCTGGCCAGGGACACGAGGCCGGCTCTCAGCTCCGGCCCATCCCCGCTTTGCAGCTGTGAAGGTCTTTCTCATGTTTGTCACCTCCAGGGCCTGCCATTTGGGAGCTACCTGCTCATCAGCGATGGCCCTCTCAACAACAGCACAGGAACGCCCTTCTTCTACGTGACAGCCAAAGACCCCGTGGTGGCTGACCTGATGAAGAACCCCATGGCCTCGCTGATGCTGCCAGAGTCGGAAGGGGAGTTTTGCAGGTAGACAGAGGTTGGGACAGAGCTGGAGGGTGGGCCGCACATGGTAACAGGCCCCTGGGGTATAAATTGATCTTCACCCTTGGAATCAGATGCTCTTACCGTCACTGGTAGAGCCAGGGTGACTTGGCACAAGTTACTCAGCCTCTGTGACCCTCAGTTGCTTCCTCTGTAAGATGGACATGCAAGCGGACCTTGGCTTTCACTGGGATCCAGCCCTATAAAACGCTAGTGTGAGCTGCAAGTACTGTAAGTGGAAAATGTGTCCGCCAGCCTCACCTACTGTGTTCTCAGAGCACTCTCCTGAGCTCACAGTCAGGCAAAGCCACCTAACACAGAGCCTGTTGTACAATCTACTGTTGAAGCTCATGCCATCTGTTGCATCCTGTACTCAAAGGGAGAAGCAGCACGGTTGTTCTGTGTCCATCACCCAGGAAAGATCAGCATTTAAATCCAGAGTAGTTTTTATTGAAGGTGCAGACCATCACAGAGCCTGAAAATCCCGCATCAAGGCACCATAATTTGGGAATGTTCATAACGATTTCTACCCCATAGAGTTATTTGAGTGTTGGATATCGGTGTAAAGGGCCTTGAAATAGCAGAGAAGTGGCTAAATGGCAGTTAGTGGCACTGTGGAAAAGGGCAGAGTGGGCTGGCGGTCAGGGATGGAGGAGCCAGAATAGTGGTGTGTATTGATCATTGCTCCCGTTCATCCGCACACCGGCCACGTACGCAATACAGAGCCAACATCTTTATTTTGCATCTCGCAGCCCGTTCTGCAGATTGAACGCAAGGCCTCAGGCACACTGGCAAGTGTCCACCGCGGAACTGCACCCAGCCCTTTTAGTATTTTCCGTTTTTCATGCAGAGCCTGGATAAGTTCCGCAGGTGGGATCTGAACTTTTAATCCTCCGTCTTCCGTCCACCAGGGAGCTGGGATTACAGGCGCGCATCACAGCGCCTGGCTGAGCTTCATTCCTTTCATATATTTTCTAAAATTCTTGTAAAAGATTTGTTCTAATGGTGTTTGTAAATAGGATCACAAGTCCGCATCTTGTTCAGCAATTAACCACTAAGAAGAATATATGCAGTGTATTATTTGTTGAAAAATAAAAATAAAGAAAGAAAGAAAGAAAGAAAGAAAGAAAGAAAGAAAGAAGAAAAAAAAGATCACTATGGAAAAAAAATAAAAATAAAATAAAATTCTTGTAAAAGAAAAAAAACTACTTAAGAAAAAAGCATCCTTACCTAGATAGCTTTGTCCAAATTCCAACTGCAGTCTATCCTGCCGCCCCGAGCTCACGTGGGGGCTGCATGTGAGAGACCCTTTATAGATTGCAGAGATTAGTGATCTGTTGAAAAGAAGCTAGCAGGGTAGGTCAAATAACTCAGCAGATTAAAGCGCCTGCAAGCAGGCACAGGGGCTGGGGCTTCAATCCCTGGACCGCCATGCCATCCCCCCCAGGGGGGAGCACACTGAGATGGCAATTGAGACTGGGCGCGGTGTTCCACACCTGTAATCCCAGCTCTTGGGAGGCTGTAAACAAGTGGATCACTATGAATCTGATCTAGTAAGACCCTGAACACCCTGTAGACCCTTCCCTAAAATACAAAATAAAGAAGCTAGCAGAGATTTTCTCCCACCCTGTAGGTTGTCCCTTCCCTCCGGTGACTGTTTCCTTTGCTGGGCAGAAACTCAGGGCTAAAGTTAGGGTGAGAGCTAGCCTGAGGGCTAGGGTCACTTTGTCGCTGCTCCTGTGCAATTGGATTCCTTCTCAGGAAGTCTTTACTCAAGTGTCCTCCTGCCTGTTTTCTTCTGGCAGCTTCAAGGTTTCCAGTCTTATATCCAGGGTTTGGGGGGGTTTCTTCTCACCCATTTGAATTGATTATAGTACAGAGTGAGAAATTTGGGTCTAGCTTCCATCTTGTACCTGTCAATGTCTGGTTTCCCAGCAGCGTTGGTTAAAGAGGCTGCCGGAGTGGTGTCCTCCTCATGGGGACAGAGGTTATTTTGTCTCATGCTTTTTAGCAATTTAAGCCCATGGTCAGCTCCTGGGCAGGCAGAATGGCTTGGTGGGGGCACAGCTGAGGAAAAGCTGTCCACATCCCTGTGGGTGGGACACTGAGTGAAGGATGGCACGAAGGAAGGTACACCCCAGGGCATGCCCCGGGAGACCTTTGTGTCTGTGTCCTCACTCCCACTCACTGGTCTTTCTACTCATATTCTATTTCTGGGCCCGCAGCATCTGGCTTTTGACACTTTATAGTATACTTTTTTGTTTTTTTAATATTTATTTATTTTTTTTAATTTTATTTATTTATTTGTGGGGGGGCAGCTCAGCCCACCAGGGGGCGCGGCTGGCTGGCATGTGGTGCTGGGGGATCGAACCACGGTCCCTGTGCTTTGCCGAGCTTGTTCTAAGTAGGTGCTTTAGACCACTGAGCCATCTCTCCAGCCCTATAGTATACTTTGAAAGCAGGCATTGCAATGTCTCCTGCATTCAGTCTTCCCCCGTTTCTGTGGACTCGCTGCCCTGAGAATTCCCACTCTGTGAGACCTGTTGAACCTTCCCAAGGTGATGCTTTTGGTAAACTCACTGCCTTGCCCTAAACTCTGCCTTATAAAGGGGCCGGGCCAGGGAGATAGCTCCACAGTCTAAGTGCCTGCCTGACAAGCACAAGCACCTGGGTTCAATCCCCAGTACCTCCTGCCATGCCGGCCCAGGCCGAGCTGGCTGCCTAACCCGGGTGTGGTGGCACTCAACTATAATCCCAGCACTGGGGAGGCTGAGACAGGAGGATCACTATGAGTCTGAACTGCGTGCTGAGACCCGGTACCAAATAACCTAATTAATTAATTAATTAAAGATTTTTAAAAAATAAAACTAAAGGGCCCACCACCTCCACGCTGCCATGCCGAGGACCTTTGGGGGCTACACTCACAGCCACATCACAGCCGCTCGATAGGGAGACAGATCCTTTCTCAAAATCAGTTATTCTTTATTCTGAGAACTTACAAGACAGTTGTCCCCAGTCAGTCCCCTCAGTCCACCTTTGTTGCTTTGAGGAATCCTCAGTCCAGCCAGGGCGATCTTTTAAAATCTGAGTCAGAGCTGGCCTTCCCTGGCTCCAGTCCCTTCCTGAGGAAAATTAACAGAAACCTTATGGCTCTGTGGGCGCTGCCCGGCCAGGTGTCTGCCCCTCAGGAAAGATCGTGGTGTCTGTCCCTTGGCTGATGGGCTTAGTGTTACTTAAACCTATTTTTAGCCAATTGGAAGCATAAGCTGACAGTGAGCTGTGATCAGAGCCCATGTATGTGCTCTGGCACGGAGCTGAGACACGCAGTCCACCTAAGCCCAGCCCTCGTACTCAGAAGTAGCGTAGGGCCTTGGTTTACGAACTCAGTTTGCTCCTGGTTGTAACTCAAGTGGTGGGTGGAAGGCTCAGGGTCCTCGAACAGCCCCCCGAGTCTCCTGTGCACAGGTAGATCGCAGAGTCCTTAGGGAGATACTGACCCAGGGTTTCTCAACTTACCCCACACAGGAAAAGATGTTGTGATGCTCCTTCCAGAACTCTTTGTTTGTTTGTTTGTTTGTTTGTTTTATTTTGGGGAAGGGTCTACAGGGTGTTCAGGGTCTCACTATTAGATCGGACTTGTAGTGATCCACCTTTTTATAGCCTCCCAAGAGCTGGGATTACAGGCACGCACCACCACGCCCAGTCTCAATTGCCATCTCAGGGTGCTCCGGGGGCAGGGCCAGTACGGCAGGCCTGGGGATTGAATGCCCGGGATCCACTGAGCTATGTGGCCAGCCCTTCCTTCCAGAACTCTTTAAGGTTTAATCTGTATCTGATGCCATCTGGAAGTACAAGTGGCCCGTATTTGGGTCATAACTCAAGACTTTGGTCATAAGTTAAAACTAAAATTCCGGTCATAACCCAAGTTGTTCACATGTTGGGCAGTCTTAACTCGAGGGTCCACTGTATTTCAGCCCATTTCCTGGCCTGCATGCTAAATACAAAGCTAGACCCGGTTGAATGGGTATGGAGATTGAGTAGCAAGGACTCCAAAGGCCTCTGAGATTTTTTTTTTTTTTTTTTTTTTTGCCGGCTCAGCCTTCCCTGGGGCAGGGCTGGCAAGGTATGTGGTGCTGGGGATCAAACCATGGTCCCTGCACTTGCCTAAGCTTGCGTAAGCAGGCGCTTTAGTCTGCTAGTCCACTGAGCTATCTCACTGGCCTACGTCTGGGAATTTAATGATAAGGAAAACACACAGCTCTTGTGTTTTGCTTGGCTGAAGCTGGGGGAGGCTACCACCTTGAGGATAGCAGAGAAGGAATAAGTACCTCTTCAAATGCTATAGAGGAACTGTAAAGGCTTTTTAAGGAATCTATGAAGTCCAGAGTGGGATACTCCATTCCATAGTTAGGGATATTTTTCCCCTAAAACTTTCTATCATCCTAATCACCTAGTCCCTCAAGTGCCATAGTAAAGTTACTAGATTTCTCGGGATGACACTGTCCTGAATCTGGGGCATGTTTAATTGGGCGCCATCACTCTGACTTGCGAAAGCGACTTACAGTCCTGGGAAAATGCTAAGACGAGGTTTCTGTGGCCGGAACAGCAGAGGAGTCGCTGCCGGTCGTGGTTTGCATCTAGAATATGTCCCAGACGGCCTTCAGAAGGTGACTGGATCAGCAGCGGGCTAACCCATTGATGAGACATAATCTGAGGGCATTCTGTGGAGATAGAGGGAAGAGGGGGTGGGCGTCACTGGAGGGAGTGGACTCATGGGGTGCAACCTAGAGGACTGCAGGCCCCCAGACCTTTCCTCTGGTGCTCACTCCCTGTCTCTGCTTCCTGTGCTCCTCCACACCCTCCCGCCATGATGTGCTGCCCCACCTCAGACCCACAAAGGGACAGGCCAACCATGGGCTGAAACCTTGAGCCAAAATTCATCTTTCCTCTTCTCAGGTGTTTTGTCACAGCTGACTGACACACTG